CCCCCAAATACACACACATGCACACATAGTGAGCGCGTTCACGCCAATCGATTACCGAGTTTCAGAACGCGCGTTCATTGTCGGTACAATTACGAGTTAGCGCAATATACGGTTTCAAAGGTGGATATTGTGTTTCAAAGTGACGTTGCTGTACTGTGCGGCACATAGATATTACAACAAATGGTAGCGCGTTAATTAATGCAAGCGGTACCTTCTGGCGTAAAGGAAGAGTCTGGTGGGCGCGAAGGGAGACGGGGCGAGGCGTATCGCGTCGCCATCAAAATTGCAATTAACGTATGGTAATTACGATCGGTGGTCTGGCTTTCTTCTGTCGCGCGGCTTGCGGATGAACATGAAGGTGAGGTTTCGTCGACGAATTCGCGGATCACGTCGTTACAATGCTCCGGAGAGAATGGCGCGCAAGGAGCCTTTCTATTAAATCGTTAAAGCGCTTTTGTTGCGACGGCACAATGGACAAAACACGGATAAGGGACGATGAATGGCGGAGATGTCATTTGCAGAGAGCGATGATGCACTCTCACGGTAGGTGCATTAAGGCGGTTTATGCACGCGAGGAGCATCCACTTTCGTGGCCGCTCGCGCCGTTCTTTCGCGCGCGACCGCGACACGAATAATAAAGGTGGTAAAATGCTTCAATTAATAATTAAGTTAGACACAGACGCGCGACGACAGTCCCGACAGGTTCTGCAATTATGAACAAATTTCCCGACGTCACAACGTGACCTATCGACTACTAAAATTCGTGTGTGGGCGAATTTATTGAGAGTATAAAAAATAAGGAATTATTGTGGGACTTTTCTCTCGATCTTAAAATAACATCAGAGATTGATCGAATTACTTGAAAATGTCTCAAGTTTATTATCTTCCGATATAATTCCAGTGCCTGATGAACTTCTTACAGTCACCGCCTATCTTTTGAAAATAAATTCTGAGGGGGATTGTTATTTATGGCCACAATTTGAGGGAGTAAATCAAATATAAAGAAAAGAGGAGACTGTTAGAGTAAAAGGTATTTAAGTTATAATTACATCCCTGGAGTCTTTCGAAGGTAGAGGAAGTCTGTTGGTGCGTGATTCCCAGGAGGAAGGTTTGAACAGAGGTATTTCTTATCGTTTATTTTTAATAAATTTCTACAGGGCTGTGTTGCGCGCGCGCACGGTTTACTTTCACGTTTTAACTCTTGCATTATAATGTCTCTTGTTTTTAGTTTACATCCTTCTGTAAAGAAGACAAGAGATATGCCGTGAAATCGCCTGAGAAGTCACATCAACGTCACAATTAACGCTCACTCGAATCATTTCTTACTCCGCAACCGGCGATTATAAGCAGAACCATGACCCAAAGAACGACGACGATGACGGAGGCGACGCTAAACAATCCACATTCAGCCTTAAGCTGCCTCTCGGCAGTTACGTAACGAGGTAAAAGAGAGGGAAACGTCGTTTTAACAGATTTCATGCAGACGCACGTACACGACGCGCGAGACGAGAATGAATTATCTGCGCGCGCGCTTATCAAACGTGACGAGCGCGCGTCGAATCCGCATGGATAGCGCGTCGCGTTGCTAAAGAATTATCGCCCGCTCCTTCACCGGTCACCTGCGCGAGCAATAAATCACACTTCGAGGGAGCAACTATCGCACGCGCGCGTGCGTCGTTGCATCGTACGTGGTATTTCCGGCGGATCCACTCGGACAGCCCCCGGGGCTTATTCTAATTTATATCGGCGCGAATTAAAGGATTACGTAATAAACGCGCTGAATTATGGAGTCCGATATGACTATTTCGATATATCGATCCGGCAGCAGCCGCCGCCGGGATATAAACCAGCTATAAGGGAGACTTTCGCATTGAACGAACCCGCGCCCCTGTACAGCCCTCCGCTCATACTCGGCCGGGATTAACCCCCTTTTCCGCGCGGGATCTTCGCTGATGAAGATACGGCGAAGAGAACAATTATTAGGAGAAAGATCTCAGAGGTTTGCCACTCGTTCGACAGCACTGCGAATTTAACTGTATTACTTTTAGACACTCTTCTCACGCGTTTTTTTGTAGTTTTGAAAGAACGTGCGTTTGAGAGACATGTAAATTATAATTTAATACATTTAAATGCATTATAAGCGACGTGACTTAAAGCGGTGAGAAATATGTAAAAAGAGATTCAGCGAAAATAATATACTTGGACTCGCAGTGAACTGACACTTTGGGAGTCTTTCGGAAACTCTTGGCAGATGATGATTCGCTCGAAACACGACTCGCAACACGCTCGTATGTTTGGCATTGGAATATCCAGCGACGCTAAAATCGCAGGTTTTCGTACTACGCGAACGGTGCGAATTGTTTCGCACTAAATGAAGGATGAGAAGGAATGGCCATGACTGGCAGAGAAAGGGTTAAACGCAGAACGAGACGAGCGTTCGCGTTCTCTCGTGGCGGACATAAATTGAAAACAAATTAAATCCCCGGGATGGAAGCCCTGTGTCTGTGTGTGTAATTAATGTAAAACGAATTCATAATCCCGCGTTGCGTAAACATAAAATCCCGGGTAGTGGCGATCGTTATTCCGACCGCGGCAAGTTCCGCAAAAATGCGACGCGGAATTACGTTTCTCCTAATTTTCAATCCCTGTGACCCATGATAATCGGTCGATTGATTAAATACACCCTCCGCCACGTTTCAATGCGTCTCCTTCCGTCCGCAGCCTCTTTGACGAATTTCACGTTGATTTTCCATTAATAAAATTTTTGTTTGGACGTCCATCTACTTGACAACATTTTAAAATGCGCGATCGTTAAAGATTTTAATAATTAAAACGTAAATCTCGAGATTCATTAGACATAAAGCGATTATAGTTAAACTTATTCCACTCGAAATCTTTCGTTGAAACTATAATTCCAGGTTGAATTTTCCCAATACACTTTATGCTGAATTTTAAATAGTTGCGACAAATGAAAATGTTCTTGCGGGCTTATATTTAGAAATCACCGCGAGAAACGTTCTTAGAGATAAGATCGAACATCACTTTGTTATTAATTGTTTAGTGCTTCGGGGCTCGTCGCGACAGAACATCCTCGTTGAGCAGGTATCGATTTCGAATTGCCGAAGTAATTCCACTAAAGGACTCCATCGTGAGAGTGAAGGAGAAAGAGAGCCGTCCCGTATAAACTTTTCATAAATCGTCAAATTAGGTCACAGCGCGCCACGAGATGATATAAACGCTCGGTCCGGTATCAGCGATGTTACACATGGCGTTATAAAAAACGCGACGCGCACACGTGCCCCTTTTTACACGATCCCAATTGAAATGGTTAGTTATGCACGTGCGTGCGTACGTATGTGCATACGTACGTGCGCGCGCGGAATTCGCTTTGGGCTCAACGTGAGCAACAAAAACGCGCGTCGCGTAATTCCACGCGACCTATATTCTAATAAACTATTCGTTTGACGCATTCACCTCCTTTTTAAAGGGTCTCTGTTCCCCCTTCTCTCTCTTTTTTTCTTTTTGTTTCTGCCATTATCTCTCTCTTTCTCTTTTTATTTCTCTCTCTCTCTCTCTCTCTCTCTCTCTATTTCGCCCCGAGGATGTAACATCGATCCGCGCCGTCTAGTCTGTTCGGGGAATCTCTCGTTCGCGTCCATTTGCGCGCGGCTCTCTTTTAATCCGTGCGAGCAGGCGCGCGACGGAACTCTCGCCGGGTATTAATGGATATCCTATCGCCGACACTTTTTCGTGTAATTTCATGATTCACGTGTTAATTAGCGCGTCGGTAATTACGCACGCCATTCACGCTGCACGGCCGGGACGGCGCGGGATTTTTAAGAGGAGCGAAGAACACGAAGAAAAAGAACATCGCGCATACCTCCGCGGTCGATGCGTGCGTCCTTAAATATTCACAGACGAGAAATTGGCCGGGATATTCCGCGAGAAATGCGTAATGCCGCAGGGGGTGTTCCATTATGCTATTAACGCGCCCTCGTGATAGAATTTAGCGACATAGTTAGACACTCTTATCCTAATGTTCGCCTGTCAAAGGGATGCTGTCGCTCGGGATTTCCGCGACGTGGCTTAAATTTTAGGGTCTGGAAGAAGGGCTGGAAGTTAGCACGACGTGGTTTAACCCCTATACGTATCATGTCTAACTATTAAGTGGCTTAATCCCTTAGAGAGGGGGAGATATAGATATATAATCTAAATCCTTCCGAATCTTCTCCAAAATTATAATGCGAGTAGAAGCAATTAAATGACATTTGACCAGAGTAGATACACACTTCGAACGTCGTCACGAGAATACGATCGCGTTTAAATAAATACAATTACACGTTCATCGCATTCGATAATTCTCAATCGTTGATCATGTTTCGCTTAGATGATCGCTGAAAGTGTTTTCAGGGAGCGCAACATTCGATGGCATCACGGTTAAATCCCGAGATAATTCGTCGGATTATTCATATTCTCTCCCGTGAGATCTGCGCAAACTTTCCGTGGTAGAATCCAACGGAAGCGGATACGGGGCTACGCGGGACTGCTGAAACAAGGGGAAACGGAAACGCGCACGGAGAGGGAGAAAGAGAGAGCGAGAGGGTGGAAGAGACGGTGAAAGAAAGACAGAGAGAGAGAAAGAGAGAGAAAGAAAGAGGAAGAGAAGAGACCGAGTTTTGTCGCTTCTTACGGGACGGGCAGTAAAAAGGGGAGCGACGCGGGGAAATTCTTTCTTGGAGTGGCTGGTTAAGAAGTTTTATGAGATCCTGGAATCTGCGGAATGCTGAGAGGTTAATCAATTTTGCGCGGCGTTTCGTCGTCGTTTCGTCGTCTCTCGTGACGCGTTTGTCACTCTCGTTGGACG